GATGAGGATGATTGATGAGAATGATGTTGATGAGGTTAATGATGACGAATGATGAGAAACATCCCTCTGCCCCTTATCCTCATATTCATTCTTGTCGTCCTCATCCTCTTCATTATCATCTTCATGATGAGGATGATGATTGATAATGATGATTAATAAGGATGATGATGATGTGGTTGATGATGAGGACAAGGATGATGATGATAGATGATGATCGTAATGAGGATGATGATGAGGATGATAATGACAATGATGATGATAATGAGGACTATGATGATGAATGAGTGATGATGATAAGGAGAATAAACGAATGATGAGAAACATCCCTCTGCCCCTTATCATCATCTTCATTCTTGTCGTCCTCATCCTCTTCATGATGAGGATGATGATTGATAATGATGATTAATAAGGAGGATGATGATGTGGTTGATGATGAGGACAAGGATGATGATGGATGATGATAGATGATTATTGTAATGAGGATGATGATGAGGATGATAATGACAATAATGATGATAATGAGGACTATGATGATGAATGAGTGATGATGATAATTATGATAAGGATGAGGTTGATGATGATGAGGATAAGGATGATGATGGAGGAGGATGATTAGTAGGATGAAGGTGATGGTGATGATGTTAATTGGTGAGGATGTTAATTGGTGAGGATGGTGATGAAGGTGACGATGATGGATGAGGATCAATGCCATAGCCAGGATTTTCAAACGGTGTGAGACAATATCAGAGTGGACCCACTTTACGTGTAAATTCAAACAATGTGGACCCATTTAACGCAAAAATATGACATATCTGGACCCATTTTCTTAAATTTTACCCATATCTAACTAATAAGGAATCTGGATCAATTTTATGCATAAAATTACATAATTTGGACCCTTTTTTAAAATGTGGACCCATTTTTTGTGGACCCATTGGAAAAATGGTGTGGGACTGTCCCAACTGTGCCAATAGCTGGCTATACCATTGATGATGACGAGGATGATGGATGAGGATGAATATGATGATGAGGATGATGATGAAGAAAATGATGAAGGATGAGGAGGATGATGATAACGACGATAGATGACTGATGAGGACGTGATGAAGATGAGGACGATGACGATGGATGAGTATGATGTGATGATGATGATGATGGTGATGATTACAACGATCGATGTTAGTAAGGATGATTACAATGAGAATGATGATGACGATGACGAATAGGATGATGATGACGGATGATGATAATACTGTAATGATATCAATAGTGGTAATAAAAATATTATAAATAATATTATTATATAACAGTACTAACAATGTAATTCATTCTAATATTAAAATATAATTTTGAAATAACAGAAATACAATACATTAATAATATATACATAATATTATTAATGATTTAAACAATAATAAATAAGCATAATACTACTATTAAAATAATAATATTTATATATATTCTATATGTGTACATTGCTTTGATCAAATCAAATCAAATCCATTTTATTGCAATCTGACAAGATAAAATATTATCTTCACCAAATTGAAGTTTAACAATATTAAAACATCAATTATTATTAAAACATCAATTATTAATAAAACATCAATTATTAAACATCAGTTATTATTAAAACATCAAAAGACATAAAAGGAAAAAATACGAAAAACATATAAAATCTATAAAAAGTAATTCTTAGAAGTTGTCACCGAGCGGCGCACCTGAATATTACCAATGATTAAATGATGAGATTGTATTTTGTACTTTGAGAACAATAATAATAATAATAATAGTAATAATAATAATAATAATAATAATAATAATAATAATAATAATAATAATAAATCTTACAAAAATAACCATTTTCTCCGCCAAGATGATTGGCATTATGATCATTTCAATTAAATTTGATAAAGAGTAAAGAGTAACTAGTTAACTAAGTTTATTGTCAATTTTCACATTTATAGCAAAACTAGAGGTGAATAATATAATGCTATATATATATATATTATATATACATATACATATATACGTATATACATATATACATGTATACATATATATATATGTAAATGTATATATATATATATATATATGTGTGTGTGTGTGTGTGTGTGTGTATGGATATATATTGTTTTGAAATTGCTCTGATAAGAATAAAGATAATTTTACATTTTACCGGCAAAATGGCAGCCATCTTGGAATTTTTTGTGATGACGTCATTATTCCGATTAAATTTTTTTAAGTAACTAGGAGTGAGGAGTAACTATTTAGCCAAGTTCTTGTTACATTTGATATACATAGCATATGTAAAAGTGACTAAAAACATACATTTATTTCCCCTACCCAAATCTTAATTAGCCCAAAATAGGATATTTTATGTCAAAATTTTAAAGTGCTATAAAAAAATTGCCCAAGCTCTAAGAATGGGGATTTTTTTCTGAGACACTTTATGATATACTGATTCAGAAAAACCAAAAATAAATTTTCCTTTACTTTTTTCCCGCTAATTTCCTACTGCACCCAGGCTAACGGTGGGGTAATTGTTATGACGCTCGCTTTGACAGACAGAGGGCGCAGGTTCGAATCCTTTCAGATGCATTTTATTACACTATTAATTTATAGCTATGCTACACGATGTATTTACCAGGGGCGGATTTAGGGGGCCGGCCCTGCCCCGGCCCGCCTTTTGGGAGGTAAAAAAAAAAAGGGAAAAAAAGATAAAGAAAAAATGATAGCCCAGAACGCCTCAAATGTTATTTTCGGGCGTCTAGAACACAAAAATTTCGAGGTGGAATTCCCCCGGACACCCTATAGCAGGGGTGAGCATAAAAATCGGGTGGAGGGCCAAAGTGAATTTCTGATTTACACCGAGGGCCGCAACCAAACTTTGCTCTTTCCAGTGCGCTTCTAAAAACCTCCAAGCACTGCTTTTACACCACTTTATTCCCAGTTTTAATGGTTATGACGCACGCCTTAACAGTGAGAAGTCGCAGGTTCGAATCCCGTCGGAGACATTTAAATTACTCAATTTATTTATTCAGAGGACAACATTCGTTGAGAGCTGTGCTACACGATGTATTTATGTCCTTTATTCGAACACTGTATTTACATTTCTTTCATGATTTATATATAATTTAACAGTGTTAACGGCTATCTTGATTTATATTAAATACTATTATTTGTTTCCAGTCGTACCTATTGTATAATAGAGTGTATCTGACGTTATTTGAATCTGTTCAACCATGTCTATATGTATATATGTATATATATATATATATCATATAAATATACATATACACATATATACATACACATGTACATATATATATACATATACATATATATCATATACATACATACGGTATATATATACATATATATTAAAACATTTATCACCCCGAGACCACCCCAAGTTCGAACTCCCAGAGGGGGTCACGAATTGGAAAGCAAATTGAAAAAATGTAAGCAATGAAATGTAATTTGTTTTCTGATTGTACAGCGTACTGTGCGGTACATTATCTTTTGAAAAAAACACGTTCCAAGTAGTATGATTATTCTTTAGAAAAGACTTTTAAAAAGTCCAAAAAGTTGCACATTAATTTAATTCTTTTTTTTTTTCGCTTGCTTGGTAGTTAATGTCATATAATACTTTTTCAAATATCCTTTCCGTGTGTGTACGTGCTGAGTCATCCTTGCCATCATCTGTTAAGAGATGAAAGGTGCTACATGATAATTAAAAAAAAAAATGTAAGGTGTCAGCAGCAGTCGAAAGCAACAACATGCTAGGCCAAGTGAGTGTTTTCATAATAAGTCTCTAAGCATGATAGCAATCATCAGTCAGAAGAGATTAAGATCATTGGTCATGTGTATCGCTTGCCTTTTTTTTTTAAATGTTTTTTTTTTTTCTGAAGTGGTTTATTTGCTTTGTAATGTACTGTATGTTTTATGTTATCATATGAATAAATAAATTAAAAAAAGACATCATGTAGGCCTATAGAGAACTTGCTTCTGGCTCACGATCCGTAGGTCGTCCCAAGTTAAGATTTAAAGATGTTTGCAAGAGTGACCTCCAAACCCTAGACCCTTCTATATGGGAAGTATTGGCAGACAACAGAAACACATGGAGGAATGTCTTGAGGGAAGATGCTAAGCGATTTTGATAATCAGTGGATCGAGACGAGACAGCGAAGAGAAGAAAAGAAAAAAAGGAAGCAAGTCAATACTAATGGACAACATCATGAGGGATCTGTATGTGAAGCGTCAACGGATATGCAAATCCAGAATCGGGTTAATTAGTCATGAAAGGAAATGTCTCAAAGTAAATTTAACAACCTGGTTAATTAATAAAAAAAAAACAACAACAAAAACAATACATGATTAGAGTTGTTGCATAATTGCATTGGATACATCCTTACCATCATCTGTTATAAATTAAAGGTGCCATATGATAAAAAAAAAAAAAGTGTATGGTGTCAGCAGCAGTCGAAAGCAACAATATGCTAGCTGAGTGAGTGTTTTCATAATCAAATCGTTGTTGTAATATTTTTTTTAATATTAAAAAGTGTGATAAGTGAATATTATTAGTAATAACATTAATTTTAATAATAATAACAGCATTAATAAGTATAATTTTAATAATAATGATAATTTTAATGGAAAACCTAATTTAAATAATAATAATAATAATAATAATAATAACAATAATAATATTACAAACAATAATAATAAGCAATAATAAGAATAAAGAATATCATAAGACCCTATTTGTTATAGTATTATTTTTAACGATTCTGAATAAATTCAATCCCTAAAACTACACTCATAATGATAATAATAATAATAATAATATTAATAATAATAATAATACAAACAATAATGATATAAACAATAATAAAGAATATCATAAGCCCTATTTTACATAGTATTACTTTTAACGATTCTGAATTAATTCAATCCCTAAAATTACACTCAGAATAAATCGAACATCGACAAAAAAATATTGAATTCATTGTTTATTCAGCCATTAAAATTGCACTGGTTATAGAACCCGATGCCATTGGCACGGTAACAAACATTACAACATTGGAAAGACATTATTATATGTATTTACAGTTTCAATTAAGTTACAGTTTCAATTAGGTTATTATGTTTATCATCACTTATGTTTTTATTAACTATACAACAATGGTATGACAATAAACAGTTCTCGATGGCTCACATAGTTAAAAGCATGTACAATCGAATACATGATGACAGAGACCTTCCACACGAAGAGACCATAACCGACACAGAAATCATTCTGAAAGCCCTTAGGCTTATGTATATTTGATACTGACTAAACGGCAGAACTGTAACAAAACGAACAGAGGCGATAATGAACTTAAAATTTAATGGAGAAACAACTGTAAATGAGAAATATATGCAAGTAAGGCGCCGACACACGGTAGTTGGTAATTGAATAAAATGTAATTAGCACCATCCTTTCAGCTTTTTGATATTCTTTAATGGATATGCGTCACGCTCGGGCGCTGACGGGGGGGGGGGGGGGGGATNNNNGATTGCCAGGGCCCCATGTACGATGGGCCCGAAATTGACAGCGTGGATCTTTTTTAACAAAGAGCTTGGCTCGAACTTTAAAAAATCAAATATTTTTTTTCTGATGTCTCTTCATAATTACACCATTATCATATAATTTTATTTTATGGTATCTCATGTGTTCTTTAGTTGATAAATTCTAATAATTGTCAGTAAATATTTCTCTTACTCGTTTTTCGATCAGATCAGATAAAATTAGCTGCATCATAGGATCAAGAACACACTGCCAACTGCCACGCGCGCGGCTCATGTCAATGAGTAGGGTCCCATAGTTTCGATCTTAGACGGCAGAAATATTCAGATTTTCAATTGTAAAAATACAACACTAAAGTAGCAAACAATGCATTTCCTGGTATCTAGGGAAAAAAAAACATTTCAGGAGATGCCCCGCTCACCCCCTACCCCACCCCATGCGAGGGTTTTTTTAAACAAAAGTCTCACGCCTGCAAATTTGTCGAACTTGGCATGTATGAGGGCCCCAAACAGTCAGCGCCAGGGCCCCACAAACTTCGTGACGCCACTGTTAATGGATCAAACTATTTAGAGGAATTCTAATGCATTTTCAAATGACAATTGTACAGGTGGATTTCGTAAGTGAACTATCATTTTTCTGGCCTGCATTGACAGCACGATTGTGACATTTTCGCCCACGACAGATAATTCATCGAGCGACGTGCCGCCAAACCAAATCCAATTTCTTTTTGATTTCAATTTAGTGAACGGCATTTAAAACATTGAGGTATTTCCACATTTTTTTCATTGTTATGTTTGTAGGCCCTTAATATACTTGAATTACAGTATTTCTCTGGCACTGTTACAAACTTTCCCTTTTAACCCTCTGCCTCTGTTTCATCTACATAAGTACTTAATTTACATTCTAAATATTATCGAACTCACCGACTAATACCATGATCATTAAATTGTTCTATCGTTATTCTTTACAAACACAAGATTTATTAATTTCTTGGTAATGTTTCATTTAAGACAGCAATTATAACAATAATATTAATGGTTCTTCTCATTAGTTGACGCACGCCATAATAAATTAAAAGCGTTTACTGTTGTATGAAGCATCCAGAGATTCATTTTTGTCTTAATAAATATTAATCGATGTTTGATTGTCTCTGACGTACGTGGATTCCTTACCCACATACATGCATGTAAGACATACACTGCACTCTCGTCGTGAACTTTTTATTACGTAATAATTCGTTATGCGCAATCCCAAATGCAGTCTACGTCGAACAGTTAGAATAGAGGAAAAGGATGTTGCGGGGTGATGGAAAAAATCACAATCTATTTAGTGATGAACCAAGTGATGCAATAAAAATAGAATTTAATATCGTAAATGAAAACCAATCACGTAAGGTAAACGTAGAGCTCCACCAAATATCAGTGGCTATGGCACAGAAATGTATTCACGTATTCACACCACAAACCCGATATCGCGCAAAATGGGCTACAACGGGGGCTACAAGTAGGCCTACGTACACGTGGGTGTAAATGTGTCAAGTAGTGAACAAGAAATGGCAAGAATTCTGCATGTGCTATATGACGGATACTTTAAATGGCAAAAAAACCCCCAAAACTCTAGTTGGCGTACGTGCGCCTTATGAATTGCTATGGTCGTGTCAGCCATGCATTAGTTGTCAGGCGCTAGCGCCAGTTAAAATTATATTTCTGTTAATTAACTTCGCATACCTTTTGCTGTCTCGTCAAAAATGACGCATGACAGATTGATTGCATATTTCAACAGGCATTGTCAAAATGTTTTATGGTCAGGTATAGTTGTAATGTTATAAATAGAAATATGAAGACATGTCAATCAAACCTCGACCAAACATGTAGGTCTGGGTACTAGATTATGCTTAAGTAGAGAGTCACGCATAGGCCTATACCGTACTCGATTGTGGAAATCATTAGACTATTGTTTAAATAAATTATCTTATCAAGCAACGGTTCATTGCCAATACGTCATACCGCGTCGTCAGAGCGAAAATTGCGTCGTTTACACGGAAGATCACGTTGTCACAATTCATTGCGTCAACACAATATTATATGCGTGATGGGACGTCTGCCTACTGCCGAAATTATTATTATGTAATATCACACCATTGAAACATTATTTTGATTTTCTACTGCCCGTCCATTTGGTGACGAATGTGGTTTCTTTACTAACATCGGCGTCATGGCAAGAAGTGCAGTTTGGTTGACAGTGCTGTTTCTAATCGGATGCACCATTACACTAGCTTCCGTAAAATCCATACTTGTTGTTAAACCTAAGGCCCATCCTTTTGATTTAAAATACTTACATACAGCGCATGATCCAATCACCTTTTTAAAAGTTCTTCGGAATTCATTATTGCTATACGCGTAGACAAATGGGTTCATAGCCGAATTGGCATGCGATAAAATTATAGCTGTTAACAATAAAACGTATGGGATATTGATATCTTTACAGAACAAGCTTATTGAGTTTAAAATGTGAAGCGGCAGCCAACAAACGGCGAAAAGAATTATGACGATCGCCAAAGCTCGGGCCGCTTTTCCTTCTTTCACAGTTAACATTGAGAGGTGGTGAGCCATTTCGTCATCGTTTGCTGCTACCACTGTTTTAGATATTTGCTTTATTTGCTGACGAACTATGCTGAATATCTTGATATAAATACATAACATAATTACCAATGGCGGCAGAACAAAGCCAAAGAAATTGAAATACACCATGTAGTTCATATCTATAATGCTGACAAAGTTGCACGATGAGTCTTTTGGTTCCAGATGCCAACCCATAACGGGAACCAGGCCAACGATAAATGCAACAACCCACGTAACAATGATAACGCAGAGCGCTCTTTTCGTGTTGGCAACGCGTCGATATTTCAGAGGTGAAACCACAGCAAAGTAGCGATCCACGGCGATTGCAAGTAAGCTCAAAATTGAAATTTGTGTTAAGACAACAATAAACGAGTTTAAAAACAAACAAAGGTGTTTGTCCATTGATACCTTGGCATTGGTAATCAAAGCGAAAGGTATTGCGACTAATCCCACAAGGAAGTCCGCTAGAGCCAGTGACACGATAAACGAGTTAGTAACTGATCGTAAGTGTCGATTTTTGTATACAGCAAACATTACGAGTAGGTTTCCCAATATAGCAACAACTGCTATAGGTATCTCAAACGCCATGTTGACGCTGTACGACCATGTTCCGATACCTGGAGCTTTTGGCGACATCTGAAGATCCCGTATGTCTGAGAATTCTACAATTATATAAGTTCTGTAGTCGTTGAACCCGGTATTAAGTGGGTATTAGGACCTCATCATCCAAAAATACGAAAAAATCCGGCAATTAAATCTTGTTTGTTTGTAGTACAAATGTCTATTCTCAGATTTATATGAACCCTTCCGTGCAGAATTCGGCTTAAAGGATCCCAAGTGATTCATACGCGTTGTGATTTTCCTAGCCAATCCTGTTACATAACTTTCATTTACATCAACGTGCGTACGCCTACTGTACTTCCCGTTTTCCACGTCACTTCCTGTGTTTACCGTTGGTATCCTTGCTTTAATCCACAAGTAGTTGCCGATAAACTGATTCGTTAAGAGTATCCGACATTATCCCCGAGGATCAGCTGTACTCTGAAAAATATCTGCAAAGAGAAATCAAAGTCGATCATTAATTACGATGTTATTGTTTGTTGCTATCAAGGAGCGGTGACTCGTCTACTTAGCTGTCTCCACATGGACGAAACTTTCGGTTAATAATGTACTTGAATAAATCATGGTTCCAATTGCTGCTTCCAAGGATGAAAATGATTTATACTACTTTCAGTCGGTGTCTCCAATTAGAGACAAAACAACCAATCATATATATTTTTGCATACTAATGGAAATGCTAGTTTCGAAATCATAGTTCTAATCGTTATTATTAGAATATCGACGCTATCCTAATTATCACAAAGTTCAGTATCAAGAAGATGATATCGATGATGATGAAAAATTAATACTATTACTGTAGCAATATATAATAGCATCGAAACGTGGAAACTGTCTCTGATGAACAAAAACGTTCTGTTGTGGGTGCGAATTAGCGCAGTGGTAACAAATTGATAGAGAGATCGAGTTAGAAACCTATGTCCGGTTGATTGTGTCTGGGCAAGACACTTTGATTGCTATAATTAGCACGTCCCTCGGATAAGACGTACTGTTGGTCCTGTGTACATACAACAGATGTGCGGTACAAAAGAGAACACAGTATTACACTATATATTCTAAAAGTGTATAAGAGATTCTGATATCAAGTAAACTTAACTGCAGATCAATTCAAACATCAAATGAAATATGAATATGCCTATAAAGTAACATGGCAAAAATGAAAACAAACACGTTGAAAAGAAATGGAAAAGGCCATTCAAAACAAGCAGAGCTTTAACATATGAATCCCCGTACAATCGTCGCCGGGTATAGGCCTACCGACCATGTGGAATTGTTGTGGACATGGCCGCCTCGTATCATCCTCAGGTGCCTAGTAACCGTAATCCAGCACAAAAATCGTCCTTCCCAGGTATGCCTATTTAAACCACATTTTCGTTATTAGAATCTGAGGATGTAGTAGATAAGTGCCTTGCCCAACCAAGACCAACCCCCTCCAGCGAATGCAATAATGTGACCAGTATCGGACTGAAACTGAAACTCACGACTTGAAAGTCAATCCCCACCCCAACGAACGCAATAATGTGACCGGTATCGGACCCGAACTCACGACAATTCGGAAGACCAGTGCTTTACCACACGAAACAGTCCCTTATCGATGTTATTATGATGACGTCCTATCGATGTTATTATCTATTTCTTAAAGGTCTACATGGCAATTTTATTTGAATTGAATTGAAGTACTGTACTGTAAATATTTTTAAGGAACTACGTGTGGTCAAACTGACAGACACTATGAGGAAAGAATCAACAGACCGCCCTCAACGATAAGATCGGGTAGGTATGAAAATGGAATTCACACTGTAATTCCTGAAAACAACAGATGGACATACAAAATAAAGGCATACTACATTTATTTAAAAAAAATTGCATCCACCTCCTATTAAATAAAACGCAAGTAATACAAAGAAGCAAAGTTAGAAAATTGCATATTTTCTTCAAAATTTCCGAATTGGTGATTCACCGTTTTCATCTTTATACCACGTGATCCATCACATTAAATTAAAATATAATTTATTTGAAATAAAGATATTAACAGTATAAGTGCAGTTTGCATATTGAAGTTTATTCAGGCTTACTAATTTGTGGCATAATCGCCCTCATTATCATAATGTACCTTTTATAATAATTTAGTTTTCTGGAAGCATTTTACAGACTAACGTACATCTAGTATGAACACTGATTACAAGCAAAATATATCCACGTTTTTCATAAATACGAAATTCCAAACCTACTACTAAGCAGATCATGAATATTACTTTCATTTAAATTTATTGAGTCTGAAATACACAAAATAGTAGCATATTGAAAATAAAAATAATAATAAATCATAATAATAATAGTAAAAGTAATAATAAAAATTTGCTCGACAGGGGCCGGGGTCCCCTACGGGAGAGGTCGATGTTCCCGACGGAAGCAAAGTGGGCACGGTCGGGCGTGGCTCAATATGTTTCGAAATTGGTCCAGGGGTTTCAAAAGCTTATTTAATCGATTTTATAGATAGATAAAGTCTGCTATTATGTAGAAAACACATATAATTTCCTTTTCTACCAGACGAATTGTGGTTTTTTTCTCCCTCACAGGAGGTGGGTGGTAACTTTTTTAAATGTGTGATATAATGTTTTTTTTTTAGGCTATACTTTAGTCTCTAATACTAATGGACTACCGCACTAGATTAGTTGTTGAAAACCGTCAACCTGAACTTACTTTTAATCATAAATCTTTAAGCAAAATCATGGACTGTATTCTACTTTTGGTTTTTCAGTAGTGAAATTGCATACCCCTATAATATCTACTATCAAAACTTCTTTTCGTTACTGAAGGTAATTTTGGTCTCTTCAAAAGATATAATTTTTTAATTTTAAAATTAATAGGCCTCATCAAGTAGTTTTGACTCTGTATTATGCTTATGTTTTTTTTTATGTAGATGACAGATATTTTAGGCTATACTGCTGCTGCTTCCTGGCATCGTCCTGAATTTTTATGTTGTTATTAGAAATTTGTTGGTGTTTTTATGTTTAGAATCGTTATTAATTGTGGTTTAATTGTGGCTGAAATATAATCCAACTTAAAATGTAAGATTTATAAAGCGCTACCGGTATCACCCACAACCGAAAAGGTGGCGTAACGGCGAGAAAGTGTTGGGGCCCAATGCGCATTTAGTAATCGGTTACGAGCATAATGAAAGTGGCCGAGGGGCCCCTTCACAGTAGAATATTGATATTTGTATAAACGAAGTGCGAGTCCACATAGAACATTCGTGAGTTAAAAAAACACGAATTACATTGTCATAATTTGCTAGTTTTGCGTGTCTAGCTTACTAGACTGTAATGTCAAATCTCTGTAGAAGAGTACAGAGTTTAAGTAGAAAAGGCCTCTCCGGGCATCCTTTGGACTGGGGGCCCGAGGCTTCGTCTCCAGAGAGGGAAGCAAGATACGCGGGGCGTAGACTATCTCTTTTTTTTTTTATTACGTCATTGTTTTCAACATCAAATTCAAATTAAACAGGCAGAGTTGTTTGTAGGTGTTTTTAAAAGCCCATTGACACTTCACGTGCAATTTTTCTCAGTTTTTAAGAGAAACCTGCACATAGACATTCTCTAATGGCTCAACGCTTCAATCATAGTCATTAATTTAAAGCTTCTTAATTTATGATCTGTTTCGTCACACGTTGTAAAACACATAGAACATAACACTAAATCATCACTTTGTTGACGTATATCAAGCCAGTGCCATTTTTTGCTTGGTTTTATTACCATGCGATTGTTTGATCTCAAGATTGAAAAACAGGCGATGGTGACCAATGCCGTAGCCAGGATTTTCAAACAGTGCGGTCAGAACGGACCCACTTTACGCGTAAATTCAAATAATGTGGACCTATTTTACGCAAAAAAAAATATGAAAAATGGGACCCCTGCATTTTCTTAAATTTTACCCATTTTAAGCTAAATAGGAGAAATCTGAACCCATTTTTCAAAAGGTGGACCCATTTTATGCATAAAATCACATAATTTGGACTTATTTTTTAAAATGTGGACCCATTAGAAAAATTGTGTGGGACTGTCCTAATAGCTGCACGCCAATGATGGTGACTACTAAGGTATTCGCGCTGGGAACCAATTATACCGTGTAGGTAATTATTAAAACGCAAAATTAAAAAAAAATTAAAAAAGGATGCAAACAGAATGTTCTGTAGTGACATAAAAGGCAAAATATTGTTTCCTGTGTGAACTGATTGATGCTCTAGTACAGTGCACGTTCGCATTTCACACAGAGCATCTAACTAAACGGTAATATTACTGTAAAAGTATATCCTGCATGGTTTCTGTCCTTCATGAGGACCAATCAGCCCCCGTGCAGATAAGTTCTAAAACGCAATAAAATTAATGCAAACACGATATTCAGTGACAGACATAGAAAAATTTTGATTCATGTGAGCGATTGAGGTCCAATGCCTGTTCGCTTTCTTTTCAGACAGATATATGGTTCTGTCTAAAAGGGTCAAACCTGATATAATAGCGGGGATGAGTGAATGTTGATCAGAACTATGAGATCTTAATGGGAGATTACCTTCAAATGCGATAAACTGATCTACATTACCACTAACGATTTGAGATCTTAAAAATTATTTTTATAGGCCGAATTCGGTGTAAAGCGCATCTCACTGAATAACTTTATGGCGCTATGTAAATCAATATTATTTCATGCAGTTGTAAATTTCAAATACGATTAGATATAAGGCATAGGCCTATTTTGATATAAAATGATAGTTATTTGACCGTATTATGATTTGAAAAAAGTTGATAAAAACTTCATTTTTACATACCGCACAAACACACACTATTCTAAGTCGAGGTCCGAAAACTGAAGTCTGAGAAGGCTGCCACAAAAAATGTGATTTTCTTTACCGAGACCTACATTGTTAACAGTACCAGCAAGAAAAAATAAATCAACGGAATAACCATATAGGCTATAGAATGTTGCATTGTTAATATTTTTATGATTATTCCATTCCTTAAAACTTGTTGGTATTGTATAGTGTTTATTTATTTATTTTTTTTTTTGGTGCCTTTCCAAGGGAGAAACTTCAGTAGTGTAAGGACTAGTCACGGAGTCTGGGGCGGTGAGAAATGTCCGACCCTTGCGTTGCAAGTATTTGCGGCTCGTGCAGACTTTCATGACTAAACAGACTGGCTATGTGATGGGTTGGGCTCGGGCCCCTTAAACAGTCATTATCACACTTGTTAATATCAACCCAATAGCAAAGACGCTCTATGTATCAACAGACTAATTTCAACATTCGATTTTGTCAGTTCGATGATTCTGACGTACAAATAACTTTTGTGATATTATCTATTTTGTCAGTTCGACGATTCTGACGTACAAATCACTTTTGTGATATTATCTATTTATTCAACATGATTCAAACCACAAATTCGCCTAGACCTACCATATTCTTGCTTTTGGCTACCGATGATCGGTTTATTGTTAACATCCATTCCAAGTTCATTATGATCTTATGTCTAATCAATTTATTGTTGTCGTCGTGAAGCCTTAAGAGATCTCTCGCAAGCAAAAGGAGGGAAATGATTTTAAAAATATATGTCTTTACTTTAAAATAGAGTTCCTATTATGTTGCACCGATCATGATGTTGCAAACTTTTTAACAAATATATTTAGGCCTAAAATATAGCTACTGGAAAAAGTACAATGATGTAGCAAGAAGATTGATATTGAAAACCTTTTTTTACATGTTGTTCAACTGATTTTCTGGGACACAAAAAGCGTATGTGACGAAAAACTTGTGAGCGGTTAATGAGATACAGAGATTTTTGAATATTTAAAAACTGGGGGGAAATGGTGGAAAACAGTGGTCACTCCCCTTTTCTCCCAGTTTTTAAATATTCAATAATATATATCTCATTGACCGCTTCGAAGGTTTTTGTCAAATATGTTTTTTTTTTGTGTCTTAGAAAAATCAGTTGTACAACATATTAAAAAAACTTTCCTCTGGAGCTTGACTTTAAGTTCTGTTTGCCATGATGATGTCTGTCAGATAAATGACAAAAGTGACATGGCGGAAAATAAGATAGCTGTAGTGCTCTTTAAAAAATGCCCCACTCGGTCAATGTATGGAGCAAAAGTACTGATAATGATCCCGGGGCCCTTTAAGGGCTTCCCCCTCCCCAACCTAACTTTAACCAGTGAGAAAATATTTTACGCCACTGGCTGCAAACGGCTTAAATGCCGACGCATGTTGGGACGCAAAGTATTATCGTGACCACACACTGATTTAAACACATGTCCACACTACATAGAAGGCACTATCATCGATGAAGAAAATTTCCTCCATGCTATCATTAAGGAAATAATAATATTCGTTTTCCTTTTCTGGTCGGACGAGTTGTGGCTGAGGAATGCAAGGATTATAAAGATAGCCTTGTTCTTCACGTGCGACACCACTGCTTGAGCAATCAGAACGACATGTCATAGGATTTGGCGGTAAGGGGTTCATGACAGACCACTACCTCAGTGCACCATGGTTGGGGCTGAGGTGCGAAAATGTTGAGAATATGGACCTCTAGGCTCCCGGAAATTGCACTCGCATACTTTAAAAAATCTTACCGGTAGGGCCTACTATGTTCATAATTATATTTAGAGGGTGTGATCACACCATGTACACCCCCGCCCTCGCCCGCATCTGCCGCAGATAGCGAATTGTTCGATAGATGCTTGGTAGGACTATTTTTAGTAGAACTTACCAAAGTATTCGTTTGGTGCAGTCATTTGGCAGAGGCGATATTAATCCTATAAGAACGCCTTTTCAGCCTAGATTGAATATTGAATGCAATGGCGTTAACGTAGCACTTAAGTATTATTAAAATAACAGAACTGGCTTAGCGTGATGTCATTAATAAAGATGTGGACGCACATGTGGAGTTGATTGATTTTAGTGAGGATAACTTGATTGATTTTAGTGAGGAAAACATTTCATTTTAATTTTGCTTTTAATAATCTACATTTAGATTTGTCTAATAATGATGGTGATAATATTTTATGTAGCGCTTATTAATTAAAAACAAAATAAAACAGACGTGGTTTCCATAACCATCAGCATTGAAGCAGTATTACAAATACGTTTCGTTATCATAACGTTATTTAGTTGGGTGTTTAATATATTAATTTCGCCATTCTAACTTGGTAATTTCGCCATGGTAACTTTAAGATTCTATAGTGATTTACTTTATCAAATTAATCCTGAAATTAAATGATACGGTAAACAAATCAGCGAAAGTGCATATAGGGCAAATAATTATAAAGTAACAGCCCGCGGCTAGGTGAGCCCGTCACGAATTGATAATCTTATGATTAGCATTATTATACACGCAACAGTAAGCAACCGTAACTATCCAAGCCGCAAAAACAACGAAAAATGAATAACAAAAAATAAAATTAGTAAGATCCAAGTGGCCAATATCATGTCGTTCACGTTGTCTAGAAAATATTAAAGTTTTTTTTTTCTCAAACGTCATATATTTTATAGCCTGCAGTGCGTTCATTTTTGTCTCAGAGATATAAACAACCCATAGCGATAATTGAAACGACAACACGTAACCTCATTCACATCTACGTGTGCCTGTGATGCAGACCAGCTATTGTTCTCGTGGCCTGCGAGCCGGTAACCAATTTCCAGAGAAAAATAAGGACAAATTAATAAATACATTATAGAGGTGTGAGAAAGTATATCACGGACAGCAATACCCACATTGACATGTTTCTCTATGGTCTGTCGTTGGTTTACCCACATTAACTGACAAAGTTTTATATAATTATGTTACAGTACCGGTATAGACATAGACGCGTTCGTTCACGTTTGAACGCACAGGAGCATTTTTATAGAGCCCCTTTAAACTCCACAGAGAACTAGACAATAAAATAAGACGTGCTATTCAACAGTTCTACGTCATGCAACTCATCACCAACACCCAAGAACAACGTCACAATCACTGTGCTACTTAACGCTCCAAATCTTTTATAAATGATTTATTTTTTTTACAAACATGCTTTATATTATTCTTAAGGATAAAAAAAAATCTCGGTAAAAAATACTCAGTAGTACGTGAGTGAATGTCTCTTAGAAATGGCGCCCTCTGTTAAAAAATATGGAATGCTATGCTGTAATAAGTAAGTAAACTTATGTTTTTGTATAAAGCACTCCTAAAACCCTATATGTCACTGGACTAGGAAATGGATTGATAGCAAACACCACAACAGAGGACAAGTCATCGAGTCCCGTCAGTGGAGTTGATTGCATTAAATGCTAATTACCTAATGGTGATAATGTCATTACGAATTAGAATTATATGATGCTATAATCCATTGGCTGACGAAATACATATTGTAATGTTATTGATACACGTTTGCAAGGTCTACCATTCGCTTAAGTGCTTCAATCGATTAAAAAAAAACACACACACAGACAAACTTCTATTTTAGCCTACAACTAGCCCTGGATATTAAAGAAAATAATAATTTCCAATGATCAGAAAATTCAGTAAAACTGTAACAAAGGATATTAATATAATATGTTAGACTTACATAGCGCTTCATGTCAATGCCTCTAAACCTAGCAGATATCTACTTGGGTGAAGGGAGACGATCGTAGGTAAAGTGCCTTGCCAATTTAGAGTAAAGGACACAAGCGAAATGTACATTGAGGTATTGAACCCGACTTCAAGGTTGAGTAGCAGAATCGCAAACCCCTCTATGTATGAGGCCTAGGCCTACCCTATTCAGATTCAAACAACAATAATAATGCAATGCAGCAGTACTATACCTTATAAACTATAGGCTACATATAGGCATCTTAGTATATTCACATGGTATAAACCTGAGGAGACTGGTCAATTGACTATGTATACTACAAAGCTTCATCATCATGGAACACATCCTAGGAAACTGTTATGATCGTTTAGTAAAGATATGTCACTTGTTTTAGAGTCAGGTAATACTGTGATGCTCATACAAATCTTGGTATTATGCTATAAGACCACCATAATTAATGATTTCATATAATCATAATCATTATTGTATTATGCCATTCATAAATATTTATTTTAGATCGGTTCTGGAAAACGGTATAATAATAATAATAATAATAATAATAATAATAATAATTATTATTATTATTATTATTAGGCCTATTATTTATTGACGATAATATTATTATCATTATCATTATTATTATTATTAATATTACTACTACTATATTAGTACTATTATTAATGATTGTATTTATTTCCTCCATAGCAATATATTATACAAAACAACTTAAGCTGAAACAGTAAGAAATGATACGCGGTTGTTTTAAACATTGCAGATTACTGGTAGTGTGAGAGGCGGGAACATCAGGAAAAGATTTCTTGTGAAATAAATGCTTGGAAACCACAAACATTAGCAAAAAAAAAACAAAACAAAACAAAACAAAAATAAATAAATAAATAAAAAAAATAAAATAAAAAAAATTGGGCTGGACAAAGAAAGTTCTCCAATATACATCTAACACTTAATACGAAAGTATCTAAAATTACCAGTTACGAACGAAAGCCGTTGCGAGCACAGCAACACAACAGAGTTCTGTGACAAAATGAATATTTAAGTTCATTGCATTTTGGAGTTTTATTGTTTTTTAAATGTTCAGTCACCCACGCAAGGTAAGGGGTTAGGATAGTTAAAAAGAACGGTTGGCACAAGATTTAAAATTTGCAAGATGAAAGAAAATTGGAAAACATTCAGCTTTCCTAAGAGAAGCCGGCGACGAATTAATGGATTTTGTGGGTTATTTTCTTAAAATTATTATTATTCTCAACTACACTGATTTATTATTATTTATATACTTCCTTGTAACCTCTACCAAACACCAAAAACCCCAAAACCACCCAACAGCAAAATAACTGTATACGATAGAAATAGACAGGTAATAAATCACACTAACTATAAAAGACTTAAGAAAAGACGCATAAGCATACAATAAAATGTGTAAGCCTCGTCATTGGCAAACACGAATAGTAGACTCACCTGAAGACGAACTTTTAAAGATATTTAAATAATAAAATATTCCGTACAGGCCTACGTCCACGAACCGACTACAGGCAGCATCGAAATGTGCTGACGACGGGCTAAGTCTACTCAAAAAGGAAACACAGAATGCAATGATCCACCAGTACAGTAATTGTGTAAAGCAGATTAAACAATGAACAAATAAATCCTATTATCAAGTAGTATAGGATATAAAGCAAGTCTGCTGAGTGTATACGATTCGTGGTAATCCTTGGGCGTTGATTATCAACACCTTCCAAAAGCAAATGTATTCGTAACCGTTTGGGAAACTGAACAACAAACACACTGCTACACGTCTCCACTGAAGGATACGTAATGTGTAACAAATTCCAAACAGACCTACACGGAAGAATCGAATCAAGCATGGAAGGATTATAATTGCCCGAATTTTCGCATTCTGAAAGATATTAAATGACAATCAATGCTAAAAATAACCCAATGGGGAACATAAAGGCGAGCGCCTGAATCATGAACAACTACAGGCATATTCTGACAGGCCTGGTCCAGATGTTAACAGTGACGATAACTGTATATAATAATACGTATTGTTTTAAAAGCGACAGCTCCACGAGATGATATTGAATCGAGGCTTAATACACACTATTAGCAATTTAGACGCCTTGAAATGCACGGAACGCTATGCGACGTGTAGCCGGCCAAGAAACGTCCTCTCAGGGCATTTTAAATATCTTGTGGTGTTAAAATAGTTAGTATTGCTTGTATACATGTACAATTGTATTTGCGATTCATAGTTAACTCTCGGTTTCAAGATAAGTTTCCAATTGCTTAGGCCTAAATGATAAAGAATATATCAAGGCGATAATAATGGCTCAATCCGCAACATATTGATATTGTTGTTCATAAGCAGTACTAGCAACTAAGCTTATAATACACAAAATGACAATTACTGACATGATAAATGACAATAGATATTATGACTTTCAATTGTAAACACGACGTTATCAACATACGCATGTCGGACGACGACCGGTTTATCCTTCAACAACCGTCATTACAAATCTGTTTTCTTATTATGAACTACATTCCAGATCGGTGGATCATGGTCATAACAACTACTACAATAGTAACAATACAACATTGATACAATCAGAATAGCATTAATACAACTATTGCTGCAATGTTTGATATCAACATTTTTGTTTGTCGTCAAATCTTATAGGCCTATGAGAGGGATAGGCCTACTAATGGAAATTTAGAAAAGACTTTAATTTTAAAGTAATTGAAATAATTAAACGTTACGATAGCAAAACAATGAAAATATACATGTTCTCACCTACAGCATGCGCAAACATTTTAATGTTTGGTTAAAAAATATCGACGCTAAGTCATACGTCACGTGCGCTCATCAACACGTGCGACGCATTAATTCGTCAACACATAGGCCTAATTCCGTTCACAATTCCTCCATAACAATAATTTTATAGACTCGTTGGTGTTTGCGATCACGCGTGAGGCAACAGCTTGCTATTTCCCACCTTCTTATCCACTAGTCAGTATAATAATAACACACAATGATTCATTCTTTATCTGAATCATTTACAGCACAGGTAAACCTCAGCCGTCACAAGTATGAGAGCGCTGTTCATGAGCAGACTCAGAATTAAGCTGTGCTACAGCTCAGATACTGTAACAGTGGCGTAACGACAAATCATGGGGACAGGGGCTAGAAAATGTTGGGCTCCTGGCATATCAGTTAGACGATGTCAACAAATATCGTGTAACTTTAACAAAATAATCAACTAATATTTTGCACACAATTTTTAATTTTAATATTTGCGTGCAACGTAAATTAGGTCTATGCATAAATCGTCATTTTGCGTACGTGCATTTCATTAGCGTGCATAGGTTACATGCTCAATCATGAGTGTCTTGATAACTAAGTTCCAATAAAGCTTCGCCAATATAAATAAGCATGATCAAACAGTCATTCAATCAATTACCATCAGGAGCTAATCTAGGGAGCATGGGTGCTAGCACCACTCCCAAGAAATAGAGAAAAAAGAAAGAAGAAAAAAACAAAAAGTTCAGAAAGAGGAGAGCACGTTACAAGTACCAACACCAAAACCTGCTAATTTTTTTAAATTTAAATTCCATCACTGTCTATGGTCTCAAGCATTTCTAAATCTAAATCTCAACAGCACCTCCGCTAGGCGTTTCGCACGTCGCATAGCCCCTACCCAGATTTGTTCTCTAGATCCGCCCATGTTCTATAAGGTATCCAACATAATAGACTCTATTAACACTATACAGCAACTCAGCGAGACGGGCAAAAAATTACTTTACCCGTAATAATTGTAGGCCTACGACTTCTGGATCACTTTTTTCGAGTCGCCAAAGACCAATTATGCTTGAAAACACCAATATAAAAATGGCTAGGTAAACAAATTGACTGATTGCATTAATAAAGTGTCACTTCGATACACTTATGTTGCTCTGAAACATAAGGCCAATTGGAATATCATACTATTATGGGTAATCATGTATTTAATTCCTTATTTATGACCATGTTTTAGGGCGGATGCGGATTAAAGAACGGTGGGGATGCAGCCAACTAGGACCCCATATATTTTTCAAAATTAAAAGAAAATGTATCGTATTGTCGTTTTAGAGTGCCAGTAGAAGGGGCCCGTTGCCTTTCCGGAGCTCAATAGGGCTTGGAACTGGGCGTTTCTCTAGAAAGCACACAGGTATTACATAACTGGCCAAAGTTTCATAATAAAATGCTGGGTCGTAGTTGTGTGTTTGTGAGATTTCTATTCCTATTTGTTTGTTTTTTTTAAAGGCCTATGGAAAAGGTTACCGTAATGCCGAAGAGTTGTAGGAAGAGGGGCCTCTGGGTCCCAGATTTAAAGTGCGTTACAACACTGTTAAAGCTAGGTGGTAAAGTGCTAGTAGTGGTAGGACTCGCAGCCCCTTTTGTATGGGGGCCCGAAGCTGCGCCCCCGAGAGCTCACATGTTACGCCACTGTACTGTAACCTGACACACAGAGTACACTTATAGTTTGTTACTTTTGCGGAATCAATCTGTCATTCAAGTCGAAGTATAAAATTATATTAAAACTAATGTTCCATGGTAAAACACAACGCAACGAGGCGGGCGCAACCTATCGTTTTAAATGAGACCGTATTTTAATACTATGAATTCGTATACACTTCGCATTAATACACCTGTTATTGGATCGAACTCACGTGGAAGACATTCTGAGCCCCTTGAAGGTATATTCCATAATTTTGCAGGTAATAATACGCGCATTTGTATTTTATTTGAACCTGCCAGAATTAAAGAGAGTGCTGATGCATAGCATTTAGGTATTGCTTTGGCCGTGGAAAAGATTGTGTTATGAATACGTTATTAAATAAAAATATAAATAAAATATTATTAATGTTATTGTTATTATTATTTTGCTATTATTATATCATTATTACTGTATTGTTAATATTATTATTAATAATTATTATTGCTATACTTTTTGTTCTCCCTTGTATTTTTTATTGAGTACGAATAAAATAAAAAATAAATCTAAATTATTAGGCCTATGTGAATTCATTGAATGTTTAATATGGATTTGACCTTCTGCAGTTAACTGTGGGATTGCTATGCTTGTAACGTAAAAGTTATGGTGCATACGTATACTTTAATTTAAATATTATAGTAGGCATTCTTCATTTTAATGATGATTGTGATTGAGCATAAATACTTAATGATAAAGGGAATTATCTATAACGTATTGGAAGTCAAAAATAAAATATAAACTTTCAGATTGTAAGGAATTTATGTAAATGCGCAATTATATTTGCCTTCTAATTAGCTATACTTATTCTTATTACGTTCGTGCAGTTCATTTTGCTACTAATCATGCAACGCAGCCACTAAATTGTGAAACGTGGCCAAACTAACTGACGACAATGTAAGCACATCGAAGGGTTCGGTCGTTAGAAGTCAATCTGTCTTATTTTTAGGAGTTAGATAATTTTGTCTAAATTACATCCAGTACATCAATATTAATAAGTAATTGATATTTACTACTATGTGGATTATGTACTTGACCTTGGGAAGGCAAAGACTGTGAAATGGCAATAGATTAAACGATGCATCTAGCAGTTCTACCAAACTCTCATATAGCGCTTAATGCCAACAAGGCTCATAACCATAAGCTCTTCACATTATTACCCCCGGTCACTGGATCAAGCACATACTATGGAGCACTCAGCTCCCTGGCGAGAATTCCAGAATAGTCAAGTTAGCAACGAATTTTATGTTTTAGCCTATACCAGGTACGGTACCTGAGGTACCCACTCTCTGGATGGAGAGCGACAATTACTGTAGGTGAAATGCCTTGCCCAAGGACACAAGCGAAATTCAGAACGAGGGATTGTACCTCCGACCTCAATGTTGCTATGCAGAGCCGCAACCCCGCTGCGCGAAACCGCTCCTGTATTATACATAAATTTAAAACAAAATACCACGGATCCTTTTGAAATTGGTCTATATATTGATAAACATCTAGGCCTATGACCGAGAGTAAAAAAGTTCCCACATCTCAGATTTGAACCCGGGCCTTATGGTGTTTATATTCAGGCGCCTTAACCGACTGTTCCACCGGGGCTTTGTTGTAAATTCGAACTCAATCGGAAGCAAATCATGTTGATTGTTTTTTTATATATGTGCGCGTAACAGTACTAGTGAAACGCACTACGTCATAGATCATCATGACACATCTTAAGCATTTGGAATGACAAGACAGGATCTCCAAAAACACTTCAAATAAATCACGATATGTACATGTAAAGACGTAAACTCTAAACCGTGTTATATATACGCTTATTATTATATGTAGCACTATATATACTATAATCATCATTATATATATTATATATTATCCTATATATATATATTAATCTTTAATAAGCTTGTTTAAAGTATAATGCTGCCGCTTGTTTCTTTTTAGAAAAGCACTCTACTTACGTCACTTCATCTCTCACCATTACCAGGAATATAAATTGGAGTTGATGGCAGGACATTATGCAATTATGTTGTAGGCGGCCTACCATTCGTTTATGAGCTGCCACATTTACGCTCCAGAATGTGTTTGTGTAAAAATTAAAGTGAATGTGCCTTGACATTATGCGCCATGAGACCGACATACGTATGAGTAGGTTAATGTAATGTTTGATGATGCCAGTCATGGCCTACATATGTGAACATGGATATATTTGCCTATCGAAGATGTTAATCAATTGGGCTGAAGGCTGTGGCGGAAAAGAGTACATGTCCGCTACATACGGGTACTTCACGTACATCAGTAACTTCTTTATAATCACATTAACATCCAGCAATCTTTATTAATGTTCACACTAGGCCTCACTTCTCAATCTATCCATGGACATTTCTCATCGATCTTAATTTGCGAACGATTTAAGAAGAAAAGTGCCATTTTCAACTACTTTTCCAAAATCCCTTTTGCTCAAATCTAATCCTTTTTACGATTTCGAATTACAAGTTACGAGCGAAAACACTCAGACTCCCGCACACAGACCTGGCGGCAAACAAGCAATGCGAAAGCAGACGATATGCAAGGATCAATAATGATGGCCAAACTAGTACACTGACGGACAACATTTCCGTTTTTAAAGGAGTTCACTGCAATACATTTGATTAATTCAGGCAATACATTTGATTAGCTGCCGCTATTCAATTTTCCCAGTTGATGGCGTTAATAATCTCCTTATTCGTAACAACGTAATTATAATGCACTTGTGTAAGGAACGCCATTTAGGTCGCTCGTTTTTTAAACGGTTTCGATTAATGTTTAAAATATCATCTATGAAGGTGTTCGTGAAATGAACATTGAAGTTGTCAGTCAAGGCCGGTAGTATACTTGGTTTGTTAAAGTCAAATCATCGATTATCTAAAGTTTAGTTACCATCGATAAATAGTTGGTTCAGTATGTTTTATGAAATATCGTCAATAAACATTAAATTGTATATTAGGCCTATACATTTTTATACACGCCTAAAAATTAAAACCAGCAAATTATTGTAATGTTTGTTATTATCATGGTTATTACCACAAAACTTTTTAATTTGTTTTTTAAATTCTTATTTCTTTTAAAAATAAAGGAGCAATGGTACTGTGTGAAAACATTATGTGGATAATGATACCCCTGATAATGAATTTAATGAACACCAACCAGTGACACGGTTCTGGAAATCCATAAATTTTCTTTAATGGTCATTTTGGTTTTTATAGGGATCGCTGGGTATTGGCTGTATGACTCGTTCGGGTATCTCAAAGAGCCTCAGGTTCTCTTTGGCCTGTGGGTATCTCGTGAATGTGTCCTACCCCTGAGTTACTGGCGAAAGATTTAATTACCATGTATAGCACATTCAGGTACAGACGGATCAGTGTATTAAGGTATAAAATTAGGCCAGAGATGAGCTGGTTTTCCACTAGGCGACTTTATTCACGCGAATCAAAGCGTCGGTTCGCTTCCTGAGTTCTGATTGGTTGTGCATTTTTTTCGCTAGCAAAAACTCCGATAGAAATGTGAATGCGCATGCGCCGACGCTTTCCATTCGCGCGAATAAATTCGCCAAAGTGGAAAACAGGCTTAACACACTCGATACTTTACATCAAAGTTTGAGAGTAGAAGAAATGGGAAAACCATATCAACTCTAGATTTGCCGTCTAAATATCAAAGTTTATCACTTCAAAATCCAATCACGTTCGATGAAATTAAAAACTAACAAATTACAACTTTTGAAATGTGGCCTTGTGTCTTGTGCTTAATGCCTACTTACACATAAATTACCGTCGTTAGGACAGCGTTTGAAGTTGAGCTGATAGGTCTCTTCTCGTCTTAATATTCTGCGAATTACGAGATTGTTTTTCTCACGACTATCTAATTAGTTGTTGTTGCACGTTGAATAGATTATAAATTCGTTGACTGTTGATCATCGATTTAATGTTTACAGTAAATCGGCTTGCTTTTGCAGATAGATAGGCCTATTTATTCTTGGCAATTTTTTCCTATATTTAAAATAAATTTCATTTCATTTCATATTTGCAAGTAACCCACAACATGCAGAAAGAGCGAAAATAAAATAGACAAGGAATATCTATCGCCTTGGTTCCTAATTCATTTGTTTGAAGGGCCAAATTAAGTTTAGAGTTGATCTCACGAGCCGCCTAGTCGGAAGCAATCGTTATACATCTGGGTAAAACTCTTCCGCTAAAATAGATCTATTTTGAAAGTTTTTTTTTTTCTTGGTAATTTCAAATTATAGCCTACTTTTAATACACCAGCGGTCATGACCCAAAATTAGGTCGTGGGAAATTTCTGCGTGAACGTTACATCAGTTAACAGTCGTTAGTCAACTTCGGTAGGTCGCTTTATATGTAATGGATAACAATACAAAACCTATAGCATGCAGTACGCTAAGATCTTTTTTGAAAAATACAAAACGTTTTCAGCGTTTTATGAGCACTGTCTTTTGGTACACAAACTTTTGATTACCCCTGTAAAGTAAAGAATGCTATTAACGAATCACAGTGAACAGAACAAAACACAAAGTCCTTATGACTTGCATTATTTGCAGAACAGTCGAAACGTATTTTAGAAGCACTGTTCTTTGGTTCACTAATTTTTTATTATGTCAAATTAAGTACAAAAGTTATTGAGGATAATAAGCCCAAATGCAAAATACCCTAATTTGGTCGTGTTTACCTCCATGTTCTAATAATGGCCTTCTACCTTGGTCTCAAAACAGAACTATCCCGTGCACATTACACAGGGAGTGCATTTTTGTCTTTACTTTATTTAAAATGTATTCATCAAACTTTTGAAATGTTTTAAATTATTGTTTTGTTTTTATTTTCCTTCACGAGCCAAATTAAATTGCCTTGTGGGCCACATTTGGCCCGCTGGCCGCCTCTAAGAACCCAGGGGCCGGATTTATCAAACTAGAAATCAGCTTAAATTCGTATTAAGTCCATTGTTTTGCTTAAGTCAGATTTATCAATATTGCTTTGGTTAAAACTTGCTTAAATTTAAAAGTCGACTGTACGCATGTGCCATACTAACGTCCAACGACGATTTTCAAGCTAAGATTTTGCTAAGAAAGTTTGATAAATCAGCTTAGGATACTTGCTTAGGAACATCTTAACTTTTTTGACTTAAGACATTTGCAAAGCTGAGATTGATAAATCCTGGGCCAGGGATCATTCGGAAGGCTCTCCCAACAATGACAGGAAGAAAATGTCGGAAGAAAGCCCATGACAGACAGTTAAAATGGCACAGTTTAACAATGACATATTATACTAAACCTAATATTACAATTTAAATACAACAAATACAGATAGCTTTACAATGACTTACAGTGGCAACGGTGTTTTTTTCCAACCTCGAGGTCTGTGTTTCAATCATTCGCTGTGCATTTCGCTTGTGTCCTTGAGCAAATGCACTTTATCTACTTTGATTCAGTCTACCCAGCTTTATAAATGGGTACCGGTACCAACAAATTGCGTCCCATACCAGAGGGGAGCATCACATTCTCACCCGCTTCACACTACCTATAACTGAGAATCCTTTGGCTCGGCAAGGCTTTTCTTTTATTTACTTAAAATGACTTGCGCTAAATGTAAACATTAGTTTGGATTTAATGATACCACATGCTCAGCCAAATAGCAATAAGGAATAGGCCTATATCGAAGAGACTAATGAAAGAATAGAACAGATGTCTCCCTGGTGACATTGTAGATTAGAGGTTAAATAAATGCCTTCCAATGTTTCAATTAAAATCAGCATTTTGTATTTTGTTGCGTTAGTTTTACAGCTTGCCTTCTAATACCCGGGTCCAGACTGGGTTCAAATCCTGTCACTGACATTTTCTCACGATTAAAAACATCTTCACTTTAAGGCCTCATTGAGACTTCATAGACCATTGTTCCATCCTGCAATTGGCTGGGATGCGAAAGATAGAACTAAATACTTCTGGGATCGCCTAAGGGTTATGTATATAAATTCTGCATAAATATCTCATATTTTTAAATAATTAAACAACTATATGGATTCTTAAACCTTCTATCAAATGTTTTATGCCGGTGATACTAGTTGTATTGTACACGGTGGATTTCGAGAATGCTTTGTAATTTTACCAGCATTAAAGTGTATTGATTTAAGTCTAGTTTGAATATTTCTATCTAGTTAAAAATAAGTACACATTGTTTAAACAATATTCTCTATAATGTTGATATTAAGTTCTATTAAAAAATATCGACCTGATTATCAAGAACTTGGCTTAAGGCATCACAAGTAAAATGTAGTTCGAATTTGCAGTAAACGAGTTATGCTCATAGAAAATACACCCGATAATCGATGTTCAGGTTTACAAAATTGTTATTTATATTCATTAATAACCCGTACTGTATGTCGTTGTTGCGAAGTCGATGTTCAGAATGTTAAATACCGCAACACGTTTTCGATAGCCGAGAGCAACCACGTAACCAGAAACTTACACATTCTACTGCGTTAGCCCTGCTTCTATGATCTAACAACTTCGGGGTCTGAAAACAACAATTTCACTTGCTGTTTCAAGTCGTCTAATTCGCGCACGTTATTTTTAGCTAGCTTGGGTAAATATTCCCACACAGATTATCAAAAACCATATATTTGTTTTGGCTATTTAGAATAAATTAACTTCTAATAAAATTTAATAATATTGATCTAAATTGTATATTACTGGCAAGGCTTATAAAATCTATTTATATTTGCATACGACCCTGAACCATATGTGCTACAAGTACGTAATCGATTAAAAATACCTACGTAATGACGTCAGGCGGGCGCACACGCCGGTACGGCATAACGCCTATAATTGCGAATTTCATAACTCTGTGGGCCTAGTTCAGACTAGGTGGATAAACCCGGCTCAACTCACTGGGTTTATCCACCTACCAGTCTGAACTAGGTGGCTTATCTCAAGCCGAGCTTGTAAATAGGACTGGCGTGCCACCGTGTTCAACTGTTCTAAGGCGGGCTTTAATCTTTGCAGGGGGTCTTGCATTGACTTCGGGTAACAAAATGGCCAATCAGCATTCAATTACGTACGCTTTGAGCGAGTGTACGTTTCGCGCGCAATGTTTTGAAACACGTTTCCTGGTTACGGTTCATTATTATGCAAATTCTCGCGCCTGGCTAATCCCACTAGCAAAGTTAAGCCGGGCTTTACGCTGAGCCGGGCTTAAAGTCAGGCTCCAGAGGGAAAAAAAAAATTGATATGTTGTAGAACTGATTTTTCTAAGACAGAAAAAAGTTGTTTGACGAAAAACTGGGGAACGGTGAATGAGATACAGATTTTTTAATATTTAAAAACTGGAGGAATAAGGTGTAAAAATGGGCAGTTACGCCCCTTTACGCTATTGGCGTAAAAAAACACATGATTGAGAACGTAAAAAACAACATAGCCTCAACACCGCGGCATAGCTTTTGCATGGTTGAAAGCTGTGTCAGCATTTGAAGTTCGGACCCTGGGGGTACCCCATTCTACTACATGATAATGCATATATATGAATACAAACATACCCGCGATTCTCTGAAATGTATTATTTATAACACCGATATATCGAATAAGCAGGCAATTTCCTAGTTTCAAATGTAAACACATTCGTTTGACACATAACAACACTGTGGAGGATTTACCATGACGTATGATGGTGGTCGTCGCACTTTAGTGATAAATGCTTGCTGGAATACTTTTACCGATGAATAACTAACTTACATTATTCATACTAATTTTAATGTACACCTTAGGGAATGTGTAACCACGATGCATTGATTCATCACTATGATGAAACCATAATGTCGTGATAAGACTCAAAACACTATAGAAATGACTCATTGACTGCGAAAAAAGTGTTTAGAAATAAAAGCTTTTTATTGGTCTTAGTAGGTATAAGTTTTGGACAAATTATTTAACTTTATGACTCAATTCTTCAATCTTACATTGCAACAATGATAATAAACAATTACCAGATTATGAATAATAATAATAGCAACAAATCAGAAGCAGTTTCACAACTTTAAAGCAGCATTCACATCGGACCTGAAACGAAATTCGGCCCGCGTTGCTGAAGCGCCGAACGCCAGCGTCCCTATTCTTACATACTGATCCGATTTTCTGGTCGGTTCGGCTTTCCAATCCGAAAATGTTCTTCTCACTCCCCACCATGCCGTGCTAGGTCAGTTACTGATAACTAAATTAATAATAAAATATCTCTGTTAAAATGAAAACAAGATGATACAACAATGTGTACATGTGGACTTTTCCGAGGAAATGTAGATCGCAAAAACCCCACATTATTGTACAAATTAATCAATGACATTGGTGTACAGCAGTTTTCATGTCTATACTTTTTAGAAGGACCTTCACTGCAAACCATGTACAGTAGGCCTATGTAGTACATTACTAATAATATCTCACTTTTTAAATCGTCGGGTTACACTTGGTTAAGCACCAATAGGATCAGTAGTATTACTAAATACATTGAATGTAAGTAAATGCTTTGTATTAAGATTAAACAAAATGAGGGAAACCCACCATCACTACCAAAATGCACTTACCACCTGCTACCTCATCACCAATCAACATTCCATCAGTAGGCCTACTACATTATTCACACATTAACAATCACCTCACTAATACATAACAAGCATATCGTCGTGCAAAATTTGTAATAAAGTCAACTATACAGGAATCCTGAATGTTAGATCCTTCTGCTTATCACCACTCATTAGGTATACTGTACTCAGTCATTCAACTCATAACTTTACTTCATCATCTCACTCAACAACTCTCACTCATTACTGTACTGCACCATCCCAGTCAACGACTCTCACTCATTACTGTACTCCAAAATCCCACTCAACAACCCTCATTGATTACCAGTGGCATATCTAGAAGTCTTGAAATAGGGGTACTGATGGGGGCGTAAAGATGAAGTGGGAGGGGGCACGATGATCATTCGAGGGGCGCTAATTCGCAAAATGAGGTGATTTTTAACTACTTGACTGTGGTTTTTTTGGGTGGGGGAGGGGGGACTGAGGAGTGAGCAATTTTTGGGGATGCGTGTGCCCCGCACACCCCCTATATACACCACTGCTTCACTGTACTTCACTATCCCAATCATCCTTAATAAATATATGATTCACTCAGCACTCCCCTCTACACTACCACTATTTGGAGGGGGTGAACAAAACATATATTGTGTACTGCTACAAATAACAAAATCAGCTCACAAAATAGGTTTCTATTGTACCTGTATATCAATTAGGTTTCACTTTTATGAAAAGAGTATCTAAGAAATGAATTATGGATAATAAGTGTAAGTTTTGAAAAATCCATAAATAAATTTTTTTTTTTTTTTTCTATTAGATATCCTGCAATACTGAAACTGAAAGCATCAATGGTTTTACCTTTGTGCTTCACAAGAAGATTGATAGCTTTGTTGGAAGCCAAATGTTAGCACGACAAAGGTTTTCTGTATTATGTTCAGTTTAATTGAGATTTTGATGTGTTTATAAACTCTGTTGTGATTATCATGTGTTAATGATTTACAGTGCTGTATCATCTCATGGTGAAATCTGATTAAAACTCTTCAAAAATTGCTTAATTTCTAAATTTAAATTATGAGCTTTAAATTGAAAATTATATGTAGAACTAAAAATATTTTCCTCAGAAATTAAAAGAAACTGAATAAATATATTCCAAAAATTGCTCAATTTTTCAATTCAAATTATGAGCTTCAAATTGAAAATTACATGTAGAACAAAAAATATTTTCCTTGGAAATTAAAAGATACTGTATAAATATACTGTTCTTACATTCTTTGCATAGTCCCTTAAGCTAGTTTTACACTAAGCGAATTTCTTCACATGAATCGAAAGTGTCGGTTTATGCTTTTCACTTTAGCGAAATGAGTAGTTCAAACTGTTTCTACTTTTTGTGAAGCAAAATAATGCTTAACCAATCAGAGCTCAGAAAACATACTAACGCTTTTTGATTTGGCGAATAAGTTCGCTTAGTGTAAAAATGGCTTTAAATTGACTGGTACGCAAATAAGGACTTTTGTAGTAAAAAGTCTGTGAATCAGCAAGAAACTATACCACAGTTCCTTTGATATAAGCGTGCACCACCCCCGCCCCGAACACAAAGTTAGGCCGATTTTTGGGGGTGGGCTTATACATAGGGGAATTGCCTTTTCAAAAGAAAATTGACGATCCATTTGGAAGCTGATAGCATGTCCATTAATTTTCAGAGATGGTCAATGAAAAGGTACTACTTGCCAATAAAAGCCAATCTTCGTTTTTTCCCCCCAAAAAGTATTTGTAATTGTCAGATGGCTATTCATTACAATCAAACCCTGGGCTTATGCACAAGGGAAGACTTGTAAGTAAAATTGGGAGTGATACACACATATATGGTTTTTAGATTTCACAACCAAGAATATCTTTAAGCACATTCACATAAACAACACGTCTGTGAATGAATGTGACACGTCTGTATGCCTTAATTGATATTATTTCTTATAAAACAGATTTTAAAATATAAGTTATTCATTTTAATAGTTTCATATGTATTTTAATCACAATGACTATGTATGCTAGATTCATGTGCTTGTGGTGTTTAGTGGAGGGTTTTTAGGGTATGGGTGAGGGTTTTTAGGAAAGGGGTAGGGGGTTTCACAATAAGATCAGATGAAAAATTCAGGAAAACTGGTGCAAAATCAAATGTAATTCAATGTAAACAATAGACAAACTATTGTACAATCGATCTATTAAAAATGTTAACATTAACATGTAAATAAATAATTTGCATAATCTTTTAAACCGGCACCAGGTGTACAGCGCAAAAGCCATCGATTGATAACCAGTTATATAACTATATTACAGTAGCAGCTCCACATACACCATTGTTAAATAAAAGTTTACTAGTCCTATACCATATTAAAATAATGCGAAATATAATTAGTGCCTCATCCGTCAAACAGATATGGTGTTATAAACAGTCCTTGCTGTTAACGTATTTTATTTTTTTACTCCGTAATTCAACAAAGTCAATAAAACCTGTCAGTGCGATCACCAATGGATGAAATCCTTCATCTGACTACCTGTCAATATTAATTCAAATTATGTCTTTTTTTTAAGTGACCATCTTTTAAAATTGCACACATTTCTAAATTCAATACTAATATACAAATAACTGCAACATGTTAGCTTCTCTTTCTCTAACATTTTCTCAAATGAAAGCCTTGTTTTTCTTGAAAGTTAGTTATATGCTTCAATATACCTGATGCTTCTCATAATATTTAATACGAGATTATTAATACACACAAAATATTTATAAAATCAATATATCAGTTTTACAAACTTAAAATATTGTACTATGATTTGAGCTTGGTAATTGACATTCCCGCCCCCTGAAGATTAGTTTTCTAAACACTGTGGTTTGTGGATATAACAAAAAAAAAATGTACGAATTTCTGTAAATCATACAATTCTTATTTTAAATTTGTATCACAATTAACGTAAGGTGAGATGGCAATAGAACAAATGCCAATCCTTTGTTCTTTCTATTATTATTACAAAATATTACATATAAAAGGAGGTTATTACACTGAAAGGCAACTCATAAATATATGACAAGTCACGTCCAATTTGCTGCCTTCATGTTGACTCAACGTGTCTAGGTAGCAAACAGTACCAAATCTGGTACAGTTTAACTTAATCCTACAATAACGGATTGAAGCTTCTCTACTTCAATAAAGAAATGCTGGATTATCTTTGCTGGTTTACAAAGGTAGATGTTATAAAGTGCACGTACCAGTATTTTAATAAGATTAATTTTACCATTTTTTTGCTACCAGTATATTCTTTAAAACTGAGTAATCTTCTCACAAAGAATACAAAAATCAAAATCAATTAAACATCATCATCATCATGGTCAATAAGAAAAATCTTGGTTGCTATAATGCTTGTCGATAATGTTTTTCTTTAGTTGCCTAATTTCAGATCTATTATAAGTAATCTGGGTTTACCACCAGGCCTTTTTTTTTACGTCCTTGAATGGGTGAACCACGTGATGCTCGTCTCGTGCTCTTCTTATCTCGCGGGCTCAATATATCCGAGACGCGAGGGCTGCTGCTTGTTTCGCTACTGTGTGAACTATCTTCGTGTCCATTTTTCAATTCAAATGACAGCCGAGATGGGCTTAGTACTTTTTCATCTTGTGTACTGTCTATACTGAAATTGCGAGTTGTAATGGAATTTGGCGTAGATTGTTTGAAGCTATTGGATTTAGATAAACCAGGAATATCATCACTAATTTCATCCAGGGTTCGTCGATTTGATTTTCTTTCTATTGCTTCTTCTTCTGAGCTTTGGTGATTGACAGGGTATTTGGCTTTACTGTGAAAATAAAAAAAAAAAGATAATTGGAAAAATATTTAAGCTGACCGTGGAAAGAGAGGTTCTCAGGACGGCATTCTGTCCATCATTTTCAAATGCAAAACAGTCCTTTTATTTGTACACAATAAAATGAAGATTTATGGAGAACATCATTTTGTCTTTTTTATACAAAATACATATTGGGGTATGCCTTACCCCTCACACTAGCATATCAAATTTATGTACTCTCATCCATCCAATCTCTAATCAAGAGATGGTAAAATATGATATTGACATTATTTCTTAAATATTCTGTTGTTTAAGTTTGAATAAAAAATCCATTAACTCCACCTCATAAATAAAATAGAAAATGATAAATACAATTTAACTGATGAAAAGATGAGATGAAGCAATTGTAAATATTTATTTGCAGTGAAACTTAAAAAGTAAGTCTGAAGTCTCAACAGTGCATACATTATCAGAGTTTTAAAGACAATACTGCTGACTAGAGAAAGTTTGATCAAACCAAGATCAAATCTGACAGTGTATTCCTGGATTAAAGCTATATCTACAATATAATTTTTTATGTTACAAATACATGTAATCTGTCTATAGATTGGATTATTATTTATTTATTTCAACAATGTTTTGTAATATATGACACCATCGTGCCCATATATGGGAGTGATATGACATCATCGTGCCCATATATGGGAGTGATATGACATCATGGTGCCCATATATGGGAGTGATATGACATCATCGTGCTCATATATGGGAGTGATATGACATCATCATGCCTATATATGGGAGTGATATGACATCATCGTGCCCATATATGGGAGTGATATGACATCATCGTGCCCATATATATGGGAGTGATATGACATCATCGTGCCCATATATGGGAGTGATATGACATCATCGTGCCCATATATGGAGTGATACAATAACACTATACCCATACTTGAGAAAATCAGATAGGGGGTCTACAGCCACCCCACCCCTCCCCCTCTTTCCTGGATTACATTACAACACCAAGTTATACAGAAACTTACTGTAAATTATCTCACAAATGTAAACAAAGTATTCTACTACTTTGGTAATAAAAAATTAAGTTACTAAACCGGATTAATAAACATCAGATATACAGTATGATATGCTTTTTTTTCAACTAATAATACACAACAATAGTATGATACTCATTTCTATCATTCTAGGTAATCCTGTACATTCAGAACGTAAAAAAGTCTTGAGACATCAAGGAGCTTTTAACTTGTTTTTAAGTATCTGCTCACGTTTTAGAAATTGAAACTGGAAGAAGATATAGAGCCAATTATACAAACTATGCGCTTCAAATATTATCGAAGATGCGTTTCATTCTTGTTTACAACAACCATTCTTCAGTGTTCAACACAAAGTTAATTAACTGATTATTTTGTTACATATCCTTCGAAGTAGTCTTCTTATTTGTAGAAATGACTACTAAATATGAAATGATGAGTTCATTTATGTAGCACACGTTAAAATGAAAGAAATATTTGTAGCTAAGGTAGTAGTTTGATTTTGGGTTGATGACCTTTCAAATGTGTAGTATTTTCTTCAATAATGAAAAAAAAATATTGTACGAGATAAGCAACAGACAACACATACTAATGAATGTATGGTTTGCAGAACAAATCAGAATGACAAAATGATATGCAAGGAACACTTGATAATATGAAGCCACAAAAATTTCTATATTTATTATTATATATTTTTCTCAGTCTGTGAAGTAATAATATAATTATGCAATACATAATGAGCAGATTACTCTATTCATTCATATTTTAAACATCTTGAACGAGCAGGTGAATTCACCAGAGCTTACCAAGTAGAACTCTCACAAATCTAAAATTACAAAGAGTTAAAAATATAACAACTCCATCTTTAAAGATGTAAAACTATATACAGTTGTGATAGAAGCTTGAGTATTCTAAAGTTTGGCTAACCAAGCAGTCTTTGATCTTTACTGGCATCCTGAGACATGTAGTCCAGCAATATTTGATGAAGGCTGGCATACAGGCCAGTCATCTTGGATGCAATGTGACATTTCAAGACGTACAGCCCAGTAGTCTTGATTGCATGCTGACACTGAAGACATAGAGCTACAGGCCAGTAGCCCAGGGAGAGGGGGCCTCACTCTTAAATATTTCTATACAGGTACAGGGAGGTGCTGCATTTACGGGGTATATTTTTGAGGACTTGGTAGCGCAAGTGTGGGAAATGGGTGGAGTTGCAACATTTATGGGGTATACTTGCGAGGAGTTTGTAGCTCAAGTGTGGGAAATAACCGGTGTGAAATTGGTAGTTAAAGTCCCTGGCCTATCCTGTGTCAAAGTGACATGATTTTCCGCACGTTGTTAGCGGGAATTACAAGCTGAACTGGGTGCTAAGTACAGCCACACTTTTTGCCATTGTTAACCAGTCACTATTGCGCCCTCTCTGGCACTATTGAGTGGCCCTTTTCCTGTTGCCCTTTAGAGCACAGTGCGACTTGGTAATTAGTAGTTCAAGTACGTAAGAATTTTCAGTAAAATAGGTAGCGCAAGTGTCTCATGTACTGAAGCGGCTGCGGCACTCCCCCTGTTTAGTTGGTATGCAAGTGAGCTCCCCGGGGCCAGTAGTCTTGATTGCATGCTGGCATTTAAGACATATATGCTAGTAGTCTTTGGATGTATGCTGGCATTCAAGACATACAGGCCAGTAGTCTAGGATGCATGCTGACATTCACAACATACAGGCCAGTAGTCTTGGATGCATGCTGACATTCAAGATAACTGGCCAGCAGACTTGGATACATGCTGACTTTCAAGACATACAGGCCAGTAGTCATGGATGCATACTGGCATTCAAAACATACAGGCCATCAGATTTGGATGCATGCTGGCATTCAAGACATACAGGCCAGTAGTCTTGGATGCATGCTGACATTCAAGATAGCAGGCCAGCAGACTTGGATGCACGCTGACATTCAAGACATACAGGCAAGTAATTTTGGATGCATGCTGACATTCAAGATAACTGGCCAACCAAAAACCTGGGTATAAGACGTTTTAAATATCTACATTGATGCCAGCAGAAAAAGAACATGCAAGCTTTAAAAGGGAAAGACCAAAGCAACCAGGCAACTACAGTGTGCTAAAAGCAGAAAAGCTGAACAAGTAAAGAAACAAAAGCATTTGTATCAACCAAGCAATCAAGTAAGCAGGCAAGTTGGTCAACCTGTCAGCATGAGTGATATGGTAAGTGGTGAAACGGAGGCAACCAGAAGCACTGCCTTCAACCAGACAATCAAGCAAGTAATCAAACATATACTTCTGTACAATAATGATTATTGTACTTCAGTACTTAATACATAATAAAAAATAAAAAAAAAATATGCAAAGGACAGTTATAGTTAAAAAAAATAAGGCAGGTATAACCTCATGGTAATAAATATATTAATATCAAAAACTATATTTAATGCTTGCGGAACACACCACGCAGATAGTTCTGAAAAGAACTGCTGTTTGTTAAGAATGTCTCGACGTTAAACTGAGTTGCTTCAATCGTCTTCAGGAGAATAATATCTGCAGAGAATCCAAACAGGGAAATACTTATGTGATTGGATAGTGAGACTTGCTGCTGATTGGTGGAAAACTAAACAATAACTGAGACTATTAAAAACTGTTAAGAGTACCACAGTCGTTTTGTCACAACGCCAGGTAGCGTTCTCTGTTGTCAACAGACGTTGGTTACAGTGGCGGCGCCAGTGGAGGAAGGGGGGCTTAAGGCCCCCCATCGGTCTTGTCAAGCCCCCATTGGCCAAAGTTCGTCGACAGTCGGACCAAAATAAAAAAAAAAGGCCTAATTTTTCCATCCCAGCCATATCCGGCATTCTAGAAGTCCCAATTTTTTTTTTTTTAAATCTCATTTTGGGGGGAAGGGACACCCCCTCCCATACCCGCTCCCGGCTCAGGCCTTCAGCTATAGTTACACCAATAAATATTTAGCTCCCTCCCCCCCAGTCGGACATCTTAGCCCCCTACATAAATTATATCCTAGAGCCGCCACTGGATGTTTACCATTCTTTATGCCTGAATGACTTCATAGGCTTTCTAAAATAAGCATTTCAAAATCTAATATTTTACCATAAAAATGTACTAAAAACACAAAAGCTCACATTATATTAGTTATCGAACACACATTTAACTCTGTCTCTTATACACATCTAGATGTGTATAAGAGACAGGTTGTGATAGAAGCTTGACATAATGTAAGATGTCCTTCCACAGCTCATTTTAATTCATCCAAAAATACCAGACGTCCCGTACATAAAATTTAATCCCATATATTCTATAGTGACTATATAAATCAGAAGTTAATTCTATTGGAGGAAATGCATCCTTTCCCACTTTTCATTGATAAATTGCAATTACAATTACGGCAATGGAAAGAGATAGTAATTCCATATGGGAAATGATCTTAATATTATAATTCCATTTGGATATTTCAATACTTCTTGAATCACAATCATTACAATATTTTATGCTGCTCTTATGGTTTAACTGGTAATAGATTAGTAGATTTGTTTTAAATAATATGAATAATTGTAGCATTCGTATTGTTATTGGTATTCATTTTGTACCAGGATACATTACCTGAAATATGTACCAGCCTAAAGCTGGGCCTGGCTATTTTTTGTACATATTTTAAGACATCGAAGGGGTGTTTGAAGAAATAATTGAGAATGGCTAATAAGATACAGATTTTTGAATATTAAAAAATAAGGGAAAGGATTAATTCCACTTATTAATACTACTTCTTCCCCTAGTGATGCTTGAAAATATAGGAAAGGTAACTGGCAAGAAAAACTGAAAGATAAATAAAATTAGAAATTCAAATATAGAATTTCACAAAAAACTTAGGAGTGGTTAATGAGATATAGATGCTTTAATATTTAAAAACTGGGGAAAAAGGTGGAAAAAGGGTGGTTCCCC